GCCTGGAGTTCTACCAGGTATTTAGAATGCGCTAAAGGCTGAAGTTGGGTGCACTTCAGCAGGACTGGTCTATGGGACTACTCTACGCCTATCAGGCGATTTCGTCTTCCCCTCCACCTTCGCAAGTGTTTTTGACAGTACGTCCAACGTGACTAGGCTCCTAAATACAACGCGTTCAGCACAGCCTACTCCTATTCTACCTGGAACAACTGATGTTTTTATTCTCACCGTTTTAAAAAAGACACCACACGCTTCCATGTGCCACGATGCCGTTAGTCCATTGTTCGAACCACCTTACGAAGGGCTATCGAAAGTTTTCCGTCAGCGAAGAAAGTTCTGCGTAATTGAGAGTATCAAGAGATTTACTGTCTCTTTCCGTATTCACGACACTCTAGAATATGTTTAAGCAACCGGGAGCCACTCTTCTCACTGAGGCCATCTCAAGAATTTTCCCATAGGTGATGTCCTCGTTCATCCTCTACTGGGATTCCGTTTTCTTTGCAATGACTTTGGTTTGATGCATGCCTTATCTATTCTCTTCTGTCAGGATTGAATATCTTCGAACACATCACAGAATAATTCAAGTGGTGAGACAGGTTAAAGTGAGCGTAAGTCTGCCCTTCCCCCATTTTCTGGAACTCCATACTTCGACAAGTAAAATCAGCGTCTTCGGCCAACGCCTTCAAGGTGAAACCAGATCTTCACTGGGATATCTTCTTCAAGAATTAACATGGGTTAGCTGCCCTACTATCGTTGCCGCTGGAAACTGAAAAGAACAAATGGCTTTCACAGATAAATGGAATGAACGGAGGCGCTCTTGTACACAGTCAGTTAACGGTTAGGTAGTAAAGGCATGAACGGGAGTGAAGTGATAGTTTCAGAAGTTGTTGCGATTCCCTAAATTAGTCGGGTTGCGTCTAGATATTTATCACTAGTAATAAATGTGGACCCTTGCACTTCATCTTCAACTGTTGTTGAATTACTTCCCCTTTTTGTTTGAATGGTTCTTCCACATTTTCGTTTAGCAGGATTTCATTTCTGCCAGGCAGCTCTATACCTACGCGTGAACACGAGAATTCAACGCATAAATTAACGTGCATTACTTGCATGTGATAAAATTCTTCTTTAGACATAGTGATTACCACAGCTTGAGACGGATGAAACATGGTAAACAACATTATCAAAGAATTTTTCACCGGTAAATACCATTACGGTATCTATAAAACTGTGCCGGCTTTGAAGGCCACACTGAGGATGACGCTAAGTGCAGCTCGTCGGTTGTTTTTGTGTTTGATTAATGGGTAATCTAAAGCTTTGTCAGTAATTTCAACCGCTGAAGCATTTCTACTGCGTTATTTTCTTCAAAATGTTCTTTTTGAAGACTGACTGGTGACTGCTCTATGGTCCTTATCAATTCTTTGGCATGCTGCGTCTAAGTTCAGCCAGCACATGCGTGTTATCGGCTGTTTCAATCAGAGGCGCTTGTACTATACTAACAACAACCTTTTGTGTTTTGTCCAATTTTCGGTAAGGCAAAAGCACAAATTATGTTGAAGGACGGAGGACGCACCAGGTTTTTGGTTATTTATGCCAAACCAGCGAATGAGCCCATTTAGCTGGCTATCTTTTCATCCACGACAAGGCTATAATGTCTGTGAGCGGTGGCAAACTTGAAGTTGCAATAGCAAGTTAATGTATATACGCAGACACATATGTCTTAAGCGAGCGGTGAAGGTAACTTCGAGGGAATTAACGCTGCTCAGTTGCACCATGTTTTCTGGGCTGGACTGATCAGTCATGGAGCTTTCATCGTCTTGCTAGACGATGGCATCGATAACTTCCGCAAGAAGTTACTTCATACTGAGGTTGTTGCTGATGATGTCGTCGTGAACATGTACAAGTTACGAAGTCAACCTGGTAGACACTTGCATTGTCTGCTGTAGACGTTTCTTCTTTTCCTTGTAAGGTCTATGCAAATACTGCGCCGGCGACTGACCATTCTTGCTGCAACTGACCCACCCTGGCTGAGAAGGGGCCCTTGCAAACGGGGAGAGTCGTGTCTACGCCTTCGCTTACTGGCTGCGAGAACTTCCACCCTTTCGTGTTGACGCCCAGGGTTGAAACATTTAAACGCTTTGTATACGTTTATGAAGGGAGTCGTTTCTCCTTGAAATACCGTTTCAGCTATCGATGCCAACTTTCAGTGCGATTATTCCTGCTGTTACCCGCGTAGGTGTTTCATGTAGGTACGAAGATGCCCATACTTACTTCTCCAGGAGGCAGTATTATTGTAGGTATGCACCAGTAAAACTATCCATAGAATCGATTAGGCGTACACATCGGTTAAATCTGGAAGATTATTGGAAAAGGAAGTGCTACCTTTCCATACTATTTGCCTTGGTAATCCCATCAAGGTGCACTTTCATGGAGGGGGATCACGAGTCTAAGATCTAATGGTGTGGTGTAACTTTATCTCTGGCCTCCCTGCTGGATGGTCAGCCTACATGAATCGCACAGGGAACAGTCTTATGATTGGTGTGCGTTGCTTGTGGGGCTGGCATTTCACAATCAGCGCAGCCTGTTACAACCATCTCCTTAGTGAAACTGTATAGCATTGTACTCTTGAACTCTTCTGACGTTCACACAATGTCTTCCATTCTCTTCTGTTCTGTGCACGTGAAAGAATTAGGCAATATTTTGCGAAATCTTGGACCACCAGTGACTGAAACAGACTGCACTTTCAAAATGCGTATTCGTCCGTATGAAATGAATTTACTTTTCCCTGTTTGTAGCGTATGTAGAGTGGCTACCAGTAACTTCACCTAATTGGTGGTACAGCAACATTTACCAATACTGGCCGAAACAAACGCACTGAATTCAGTCAGAAGGCGGCCCTGGGTACTGTCAGAATTCTGCAGACTCCCTTAACTTTGCGAAGACAACTGAAGCTGGTGGTATGCATATAATAACACTATTAACTACGACTTACAGGGATTATCAGGTTTCTTGGATTGTGGACACCACAACAACCAGTGACAACCTTCTGAAATTCATCTTCTTCATGCACTTCTTCCATCCCGGTTCATTATTCCACAAAGGGATGCATGTTTTCCTTATCTTCTCTGTTAAGCCTTCTGAAATGCAGATAGCCCTTCATGAATTCGAAGTCACATATGTGAGTGTGTGCACTTTAACGTCACTCAAAGCAAACTCAAGACCGTGATGATGGAGCAGAAAACTAGACAACTACGAAAATGAAAAGCTTACCATTCTGAGGACACGGTCGCAAAATCAGGCCTCTGGATTCCCTTTTATAGCCATGCGTACGGCGAAAACAACAAGCTAATTTCGTAAATGTGGAGCCAGGTGGTTCCACCCGGACTTTGCAACTAAGTTGTGCGTCTACATGTGGCACAAGGGTTTTAGTAACAGTAAAAAGAATACTTTTTGCAGCTACTAGAGTGTATTGGCTATCTGAACCCATCTTGATTGCCGGGGAGTGTGCGTTAAACCAATGAACATTCGGCCGACGCCCTTCGTCACTGAAAGCGTTGGATCGCTGTCCTCTAACCCTGTGGCAGTAGTGTGCTAACAATATGTGCGTACTTAACTTTCAATAAAGACCTACCACAATCCTCAGATTTTCGGGACCTTCCATGGAAATAAAGCGAACTGTTTGCAGCTTTAGACCGCAGCAGACAGTGGTAACTCGACAAGGAGCAGCATTTACAGCACGGAAATGGGCTGTAAGCTGTTTCAACGAAATGCTACAACTGCTATTGCATAAAACGCTTGTCAGCAAGAGAAGCTTACAGGGGAACAACTATTAGGCATTAGAATGGAGCAACAGTACAGCCATAACATGAAAGGCCAAGAAAACTAGAACTGCACATGGGCGCGCACCCCATATTCAAAACAAGCGCATTGACGCTGTATACGTAACGTGAAAAATGCTGGACGTCGCCATGACGCACAACTATCTACAAAAATACAAAACATTAAAATGAAACTAAGCGACAGAGAAATGTGGTCTAATCACGTGGGTCAGTTGGTCCGCCCAAGGTCTCAGGTTGACTCGTCGCATTTGCATTCAAGGCGGAAGACGAAAACTCGAAAATGATCGACCATTGAAGACCACTTGTTTCAGATCTAAGAATACGCTGTGTAACGTACCTATTTACGTCTTATGATAATAGATGTATGACAGCAGGAGGTTGAGTATCAGGTTTTGCGACACACTGCTCCCGAAAATTTGCTTTGACGCACAGAAACTGTCTCTATGTTGTCTGACAGGTATGACACCAGCTAGATCAGGAGCACTGCTGGTTTGATGCGAATAGGTTTAGTGGTCTAGTGAAACAAAGATAGGGAGGTTGACACTGTGATTGCAGAAGGGCAGTAGGTGGGGAAACACAGATATACAGGCACAGAAAGTATCAGCCTCGCCATTTTCAGAATCGTCCTTACGCGACGCAGGGTCTAATCACAATTCCTTCCTAATTAATGGACGCCATCTAATGTCAGGTCAAAAAAGAGGTTGGTAGAGTAGCCAGACAAGAAAATTTTATTCAGCAGACCGTTCAAAAATACTGGCACATACCTGCAAAATGGCTGGAGGATCGCCTATGAGCAACAAATGTAACACGAAAACATGCCAATTACTGCGAATTTCTGACTGCATGCATCTAGCTTTGTGATTTCGTTGAAACCACTAAGATCAGCACCACTGATGAATATTTTGGTATCCTAGGTCATTGATTTTAAGGAATTATTCACCGCTGCGATAGGTCCGCATCTAGAGTAAAACTCACTAGTTGCCTCTGCGTACTTGAAGAGAATAACCATTATGAGATGATTTCAGAGAAGAGCTGAGAAATCTGAAATGTATTGCACTGACACAGACAGTGAACTTATTTTCTACACTATGAGATTCAAGTTTAGAGTGTTGCATATTAAGTACATTGTCGTTTGGACATTGTTTGTCTGCTTCGATTTAATGAGCAGTCTAACCGCGATAATATGGTTGAGCGTCCATTGTGTGAGGTATTTTGTTTTATCTAGTTATTTAGTCACTTTATGATTTTTATGCTGGTAAATGGATACTTATACACAACTTTTGGCCAGTATCAAATGGTATTTTGATGATGGTTCATATGTTATGTTATGTGTTATGTTATATGTTATGTTATATGTTATTCATAGATGCGATGAAACTTTCATTCTTTTAATGAAGACGTACTCAACATTCGTGTGTCCGAAACTTATACAGATGAAATATATGTTCATTTCTTGAGGCAAATGAAACTCGTAGATTCAGATTCATATAGCTTGGTGTTTCAGTCTGGACGTACATCTCTATCTTCAAGAGAAGATTCTAAACCCTTGAACCTAGTCTTTTATCTGAGCTACAGTCCACATACAACCGGCAGTTTTCACGAAAGAATGCAGAGTCTTTGCTGACGATTCGCTTGCATCAATACAACCTGCATTACATTTCACATGTAAGCAGTAAAAGAATCTGAGTCAATATTTGAGAACGGTTTTACACAGTTTTTTTGCTTATGTTTTGTATTTTTAGTAATATTTTTAAAAATACTTCTCAGTGATTCCTTTTGTTGCATCATAATAACATGATGACTATGAGTTTGTAGAACAATTTTAATCCAAAGTGGAACCAAATTATTCAGTACATGGTTTGTTAACAGCTTTAATCCAATTTAACTAGAGAATTATGAAACGTAGGAGACTTTTTTCATATCAGCAGCGAATACACTTTGAGAGACGAAAATCTTTGATATGGCGAATACCAAGGCGTTCAGCTTCAAAGTATGTCTTAGGGGAACCAAGATGTCTTTCTTAAATTTCTTATCTGGCTGTTTAGGATTTCGCGCTTAAACTTGAGAATTTCCCGGCGAAAAGATGAACTTGATGATTGTTCTTCAGATATAAATAGAATTAACAAGTCGCAGGTTAAATGTACTACTGCCTTCGAAGTGATGAAGTCAAAAATCTCTGAAGATCTTCGAATGTTATCTTTTTTCTGAGGGTATGGATATTACTTGCAGGAATGCAAAGTTTCATGTCATTGATTTTCATCATTAAGTTTTACTGCTTTGCACAGTATGCACAAGGCGATTGCGATATATTCCTTTGGAACAGATTTCAAAATTATTTTGACTATGCAAATATTTTAAGCTAAGTGGCTGAAATATAAGGAACAAATAAAATCTCAGCATATAATTTGGGACCATTATCGTCTTTTATGTGTTCAAACGGGGGCAGAAAATGACAAATGCTTTCTCTAACTTAAATGCAAGTATTAAATTACTGGCGCTGATGGATCCGGTTTTTTCTTGTATCGTATCGAATAATTTTTTCTTTCATAGTGCTTACATGTTCCCTTATGTTTTTCACAAATAATGAAATTTTTATTTTTTCTTTACTTTTTTCTTTGCTCTTAGCTTATGCCTGCATGTATGAAGTGGTTTTAATTTCACCCGTGTTCAACCTGTCTTATTTTCCGTAAAGTTCCTGTCTTCATAGTGGTGCTGTTAACGCCAAACGACAATTTTGGTAGTAGAGTGAATTCACGGCGTGATTAAGTTGCTATAGTATTGTTAAGGAACTCAGGATATTTGTAATGCTGTTTTGTATTGTATAGCAATCATTCTTATACTTGGGATACAAATTACTACAATAACTGTGTTACTTTGTGGTCAGATTTTTAATATTCTGAAAGCGTATCACATGGAAGCAGTTTTTAAAATCCCTAGCGTGATTTTTTTCAAGGACAGGTTTTATAATTCAGCCAACATGTCACAGTTTGTTCGGCTGCTTTTAAGACTTTTGGATAATATCAGAATTTTTGTCACCTTTTAGCTGCTCTAACTACACACGTTGTTTATTATTGTATTTAACTCACTACTTAAATAGTGGCCAAATAAGAGGATAAAATATGTTTGTTAGTATTTTTCTGCAAGCTCTCTGAATAACCGTAGGCCCATTCTGATCTCAGTAACAACTGAACGTGATTTTAAACAGACCATTTTATAAGAGAATTCAGTCTTCTTGACTACATGCTGGGTCGTATCGCCTGGTAATAAGAAATCACAAAGAGCCTATTTGCCAAAATATTCGTTGCATCTAAATGTCTTAGTGACAAGTAAGCCATCATAACAATAATTGCTACTACCATCGGTGTCTGCTGTATAGCACTAAAACTCAATCAACGTTCCTGTAGCTTTTTATTGGGAATGGTATCTGTCAACAAACTTCCTTTTCAAAAGATTCATCTGAGCCGTTTTTCAGGTCCTGTAGTAAGTGAAAGATTTCTGTCCACCTACACAGGAAAATGATGGTTAATTGTCTTACTGCAGCCACCATTATAGCTAAGATTCGAAATTTCATATATACACGGAACGTATGCAATGACTAAACAGTCAGAAGCTGGTTAGGTCAAAATATTTGCCACTTAGTCCTAAGATGAGTAGAAATAAGTTCATTTTAGAATGAAACACTGTATTCATCCACGGCATACTTTAAAGAACATGAAATCTTAGTTTCTTTTCTATTGGTCAGTAATTATTGGCCCCAATACTCCCAATATTTATTGCTTTAAACCTAGTGCCTAGATGAGGGCTGTCAAATGTCATGATTTTAGTAGTGTGGTGCTAAACTGAAAGAAATGAGAACATTCAAATTAATTGAAACAGAAATTTTGTTGGGCTCCTAAATCTGTCTGATCAAAGACGAATTCTTCATTTTTCATCTTATACAACTGAATAGCGTCATGTGAGCATTATGGTTTGAAGGCAAGCGCTTTAAGGGAGTTTGTAGAAAAATCTTTGAGTTATCTACAGTTAATAGTGGACCCAACTAAAAACAGCACGTAATGCTTTCTATCGCCTTGATAAGGCAACAGTTTAACAAAACGGATATTTAAATGTGTGGTGAAATACCACCGCGCTTGTTAGACCGGCAATGACGCAGGCGATACTTCCGCTCAGATTTTATCTGGGTGGATTAGTTTTGGGCATTGGTACACCCAACATATTGCTTGGGATGTCAGAAAGTAGCAATGATATATATTAAGTCTGTGTTTTGTATTTCAACCTCGCCTAGTTTACCAATTCATTAGTTACTAGCCGGTCCTAAGCCTGGATAAAGAGAGAAGGTTGAACGTACAGCTAGCAACCCTACCCCGAAAAACCAATCCAACCGCTAAAGAAACTTCGAAGCACAAAGAAAGTATAAAAAATAAAAACAAAATTATTCCCCTCTGGAATTGGAGAGGCGAAATGACACCAGTTGGCGAAAGCATTCGGGAAGCCAATTGACCGATGTGTCCTCTCTCGGTGAAAGCAAAAGTAAACGTGGGGACATATTATGCCCGAACAATGTTTGAAGCTGGCTAGCAAGGCTGCCAAGATTGCAGAAGAGATGAGAAGATATGGCGTAGAAGTGCTAGGCTAGGAATCTGCGAAAGCAGATGGAATGAAGTGGACTCTTCAAACTCTCAATTGGAGAGTCAATAATCTACTCCAATATTGTCACCCAGACGGCAACCACGACCACATGGAGAGAGTGGCTATCATGATGTCCTCAAGAACATCGAAAGCTCTCATGCAGTGGAAACCAATCTCCTCAATGATCAGGATTATGACAGCAAGATTCAACTCAAAAGGAAGGAAAGTCACAATCATACAATGCTACGCTGTGCACCTACAAGTAAGGAACACGAAGAGAACAAAGAAGAATTCTACAGACAACTGCAATCAGCACTGGACAAGACTCCAGTTGGTGGAATTAAAATTCATTCTAATGAGTGACATGAATGCCTAACTGATAGTGGACAACACAGGAAAGGGAGTACTTGTTGAAATAAACGATAATGGAGAACCGTTTGCAGAATTCTGAGCATTCAACGATTTGGTGATTGGAGGCAGTGTGTAAAAACACAAGGATATTTGCAAAGTGACATGGATTTGATTTCACCAGACATCAGGACACACTCAAAGCCAGATCGACTTCATCTCAATCTGAAGAAAGTGGAGACAGCCTACTCGATACAAGATGAAGAAAGGGAGCAGATGAAGGTCCAGACTACTCACTATTTAGTGCAAGGAACCTACTTACAAAATCAAGTTGAAAGATGCAAAGAAGTTGGTGAGAGGACACAGTTCTAGTTCAGCACTCAGAACAGAAAGTGAAGTAAAGGACGAAACTACGAAGGACATCCTCACGTCAGCCAGTCATCAGGAAAAATCGGGAGGTATTAGGCAACATCCCCCGAGGAAACCTGCGTGGAAGAACACTGGAACTCTTCGAAAGAGAAGTAGAAGGAAACCTGGGTAACCGTATTAAGAAGGAAAAAGAAACAAGACAAGACGAGGAATGGATCTTGACGAACACATGGAAGCTGATAGAGGAGAGGAGGATGGTGAAGCAGAAGTTGAAACAGTGCAAGGATGAACAACGAAAAGAGGAACTGAGTACAACCTATAAAACACTGGATAAAGAAGTGAAGAAGAGTGCGCAGATCGACAAAAGACACTTTTTCGACACATTTGCAAGCGACAAAGAGCAGGCTGCAGGTAGGAGAGACCTGACAACATTATTTGTATCAAATAACCAGATTATTATCTGGGAGGGAAGAGATCAGCGTAGATGAAACCAACGAAAGATAGTTAGGGAAACTCAGTTATTAAAGAAGAGAAACAAAGGAAACGATGGGCTGACCACTTCAAAAATCCCTTGGATCGACCAGCACCATCAACACCACCACCACCACCTTCAAATCGTCCCGAACACCATAAAGCTGCTGAAATCTTGGAAAACAGCAGGACTGGATGGAATTCCACCTGAAGCACTGAAAACAGATGCAGAGACATCAAGGGACATGCCCACACCACTACTGCAAAATATTTGTAAGGAAGGCAAAAAGGAAGGAAGGAAGGATTGAAGGAACGAAAGGTACCTGTCGGTCGATTAGAAGGAAGGCTACCTTGTCAAACTCCAAAAGAAAAGAGACATAGGCCATTGCAAGAACTGGCGTGAAAACATGCTCCACTTCACCCCAAGCAAAATATTAAACTGCATCTTCCTGGAGAGACAGAGTTTAGAATGGCAGTCGATTTCCTATATCAAATTCATCGACTTTTAAAGGGCCTTCGGCAGCGTCGACCGAGAAGTAATTAGGTAGGCAGCTGCTTCAACACTACGGTTTTGGTACTACAAACCTTTATCAACCTTATTCAACCGCAATGTGTTATATGATGCTGCATGCCAAGTGATCTACAATGGAAAGCTCAGTGACGCCTTTGAAGCGAAAACAGAAGTAAGACAAGGTTACCGCCTACTACAATCACCGATCATCTTCCTGACAGTGGTCGACTAGACTGGACTGGGTCATGCAACAAATTGCGAGGAGCGAGAAGAGGGGCATACGCTAGCTGGACAGATGAAAAAGCCCTAGAAGATTTGGATTTCAACGCCGATGATG